GTGAAAAAACATGGTCCTGGGGCCAAAAGGTAAAGTTTGAATGATGAAACTTACAATTAGACTTAACAGCCATTGTGATGGTTAACTTTACGTGTCAACTTGGTTGGGTCATGGGGTGACCAGATAATTGATCAAATATTTTTCTGGGTGTTTCTGTGAGGGTATTTTTAGATGAGATTAACACTTAAATTGGTAGACTGGGTAAAGGAGATTGCCCTCCATAATGTGGGTGGGCCCCATCCAATCAGTTGAAGGTCAAAAATAGAATAAAAGACGGACCCTACTCCAGAAAGAACTCTTTTGCTTGATGCCTTCAAACTAGGACATTGGCTCTTTCTGGTTCTAAAATAGCTTTTAGATTCAAACTGAAACATCAACTCTGTAGACTTTGTACTTGTCAGTCTCCAATAGCATATAAGCCAACTCCTTATAATAAATTCCTCTCTATATAACCTATTGGATCTGTTTCTCTGAAGAACAGATTAGTACATCCACTTTCCAAATTTTGCTTCCCATCCCTTTGGTTTTTAACTATCATGGTTTAGATGCTTTAACTTCAAAGTGAAGAATGTTGCCATATAAGACAATAAAGTTTTCATTGAATTAGGAGCTGAAACTGACACCTAGACACTTCTGAGGCTTTTCATAGCACTAGGCAACAAGCAAAAAAAGAAAAAAAAAAAGATATGATGTTAACTGATATAGTTGATTCTGATTCCCAAGGAGAAATAGGTTTGCTGCTCTACAATGGAAATAGAGAGTACTAACAGGACCTCTCCTTCTAGCATTGGTTTGTCATGAAAGGCTAGGTTATATATAATGACAAATAACCCAAAATCATAGGGGCACAGCCTTAGAGAGGTTTATTTATCCCTCATTCCATAGAGATCATGAGTAAAGCAGTGTGTGTTGCTGGGGGTGGGGTGTCTTTCTATCTCTCTTCACTCTGTGATCCGAGGTAACAAAAGAGTCAGTATCTGGAATACTGCTGGTTACTGTGGTAAAAAATAAGAAAGCGTGAAAAATCTACTTTCTGCCCAAAGTTTATTATGAGAAAGCCATATGGACACTGTATTGCTATGGTTAAAGGAAATAAAATCAAATCAAATGCCTGGAAGGAGACCTGGAAATATTTGATAGATAACTCTAATACTGCCATGTACCACCATGCCTTTCAGTAATGGTAAATAAGAGACTAATTCAGCCCTATGCAAAAAATACTACCAAGGTCTCAGAACTATCAGGTAAAAACAGGTCACTGTGCTGGGTAAAAATGTATATGCAGAAGAAATGTTTTAAGTTTCAGCTACAACTTTTAACCAGTTGCAAAACCAGTGCCACAGACTTTACATGGATTTCATTCTTTATATCATTAAAAGCATCATTTGATTAAATTCATATTTGTAGTTAAATTTTTAACTTTCTCATTACATTTCTGTATGTTAAGCCTAAATGTATGGAGAGCAAGGAGAAAATAGTCATCTCCATAGACGTTTGCAGCAAACCAGGACTTGGAGTTGGATATGGTAACTGTATGAAACTTTGGGGTAGGTATCTGCATTTTAGGAGAATGTGTGCTTTCACTTGTGCATTTGGTAGTAGCAATATATTGACTAGTATCATTTTGTTTTTTAACTGTTGTGTTCAGAAAAGAAGGGATATTGGACAGACCTATGGCTGGACTGTGCTGACTACCTACTGTCTATCCCCTCCAAGGATTCATCTTTCATCCTCAGGTTAGAGCATCCTTATGTATCTTTGTGGGAACAAAGCATGTACATAAAGCCTTGACAGGACAGTCAGTCAAGATCCCCCATCCTAAATAAGCCAAGGCTGTGGCATGGGAAATGAGAGAAACCAATAAATACACTTCTCCCTGGGATCTGAATGTTGAGCAGAGAAATAATACCAAAAGCAACCGGAATCAATTCCTCTCAGCAATAACCACCACGGGACTTTGTCCGTTTAGTCCTGCTACTCCGTTTCCTCAGACTGTCCTGACCCGTATCTGTCCTGAAACAGAGTTCTTTATTTTTCTATTAATTCTAGGAGTAACTTCATAATTGAACTTTATTTTGGATAATAAGCCAGGGTACATTTCTGTTGTTTATAGAAAAGTATATCTAATTAATGCCATATTAAACCTTATAATTGATCAAACACATGCAAATGAAAATGACACAAATATATTTTCACCTATCACATTGGACAAAAATAGAAATTACTGAAGAGAGCCAATTTAAAGAACATTGTGGGAAATAAGCTTATATACTGCTTCTGGGGTTAAAACTTGGGCAGAACTTTACACAATTAAAATGGAAAATATTCTCAATCAAGCAATTCTACCTATATCAACCTATTCTATGAAAACATTTGAACATGCTTTCAAAAAACATAAATACATTGATAAATGTTAACTTTGCATATGGTAATAATTTAAAAGTACAATCTCAATGTTTATCAATAACAGAATAGCTAACAAAACCATGGAATATTTTGCAGCTCTTAAAAATAATGAAACCAATCAATATCTGCTGAACTCAAGCAATATCCACCATATGCTTTTGAGTTAAAAAAAAAAAAGCAAGTTGCAGAGCAATAAAAGACCTATACTCCAAGTTATATTACAAAATCTACTTATGGGTGGCTGGGTGATAGACATTGGGGAGGGTATGTGCTATGGTGTTCCTGTGAATTGTGTAAGACTGTTGAATCACAGACCTGTACCTCTGAAACAAATAATACATTATATGTTATAAAAAAAAAAAGAAGATAGCAGGAAGGGAAAAATGACGGGGGGGAAATCGGAGGGGGAGACGAACCATGAGAGACTATGGACTCTGAGAAACAAAGTGAGGGTTCTAGAGGGTAGGAGGGTCGGGGGATGGGTTAGCCTGGTGATGGGTATTAAAGAGGACACGTATTGAATGGAGCACTGGGTGTTATACGCAAAGAGTGAATCGTGGTATGCTACATCAAAAAATAACGATGTAATGTATGGTGATTAACATAACAATAAAAAATTAAAAAAACTAATGAAGTAATGTATGGTGATTAACATAACAAAAATCTACTTATTTATACAACATACATATGCATGTGTATGTGTGTGTAGTGTATGCATGAATCATATGCATGAATACATTATATGTAAATATATCACATACATACACTAGGTTTTATGTTCTTATAAGAAGTTCTGGGAGGATACACATAATTTGCAGTGCCATTACCTGAGGAGTATTAATGCTTGAAGGGGGGCCTTTAACTTACTTTCTAAATGATACTCATTGTAGTGTGGATTTTCACAAGTACGTATATTACTCTTATTTTTTCAATATATTAAAATTGAGTACAGGATAATAAAATGCCTAAAATTGAAAGAGTGAAAGGAATCATGTAGTACATATTTAAAGTGGAGTGGGAAAAAATGAAATGATAAAAACAAGGCTAATATCATTGCTGTATATTTACATAGTTACAAACATGTAATTATTAATTATTAACTAATATTACTATAAACAGTATTGAGATTAATGAACATTAATTGAGGACCCATGTAGTAAGCATATTTTTATATGCTTCACAGGCATCATCCCATTTAACTTTACAACTATCCTATGAGACAGGTACTATTTTTCTCATTTTACAGAAATGAGTCAAAGAAGGCACATAGGCTTATAATTAGCAGTTAGTAGGCATTGCATTTAATCATGGAATACAGGCAAATCCTTGATGTATTGGTCTGCATAGAACTGCAGAGGTCCTGGAATGGATAAACTTTTGAACACACCATTGCTTAAGCCTGCAGAATAAGAGCTACACTGCTCTGAAATTCAGAGAATATTGAAGAACAAGAAAAAGAGCCATCCTGACTAAGCTCCTGTGTTAACATTAAGACTTTACTTTTGCATGGCTCTATCTAGATTAGGACTTCCTGCATGTGGCTCAAATAGCCAATAATCTGATCACGATCCTTTACTGGATGGAGTCTGGAGCTTGACAAAGACACTGTTCTGAACTAAATGTTTATGAGGATCCTGCCTTCTCCAGCAAGGAGGTTCTACAGATTGCGGCTCAGCTGGTGCTGGACAGCAGGTAACAGGGAGTGGAAGAAAGAGATGAATATATTGTGGGAGCCTGTGCAAATTAATTGTATTTTACTTACATTTATTTAACACTAGACACAACAGTATACACTTTATTCTAAGCATTTAAAAGAGTCCAATTTCAATATTTGGTTTCTAGTTTCTGAGAATAACCCAGAAAACTTATTTTAATCACACTGATGTTTTTTGCTGTTGTTTTTTTGTTTGTTTGTTTATAAAGAAGCTCATGTAAGTGTTATAGAGCTTCCTTCTTCTTCATCTGGTCTAAATTTACTCAAGTTGTTAGAACAGGTCAGTGGAAGATGATTAGTTAACTAGGCCAAATTGTGATGATTGATTTCAGCATATACTTGTGGTGTTAATAACACATGGTTACTGTTGGAAAAAATAAACTTATTTTGCTATGTGTTACCTATTAATAATGTGTCTCGTAAGAAAGTCGTAGTCACTAGATTTTGTAAGTAGTAAATGAAAAAAATCCTATTATGATTTCTATTCTTTGTTAACTAGCTTTTTCCTCTATAGTAGATCCTCTTTCTATATTTAAAAAGGAAAAGAAAAGGCAGTGGTTCTTCAAACAGATGGTTTGGATATTTAGGTACCCAGCGAGTGTGTTTGTGTGATTATTATTATTAGTAGTAGTAGTAGTAGCAATGGTAGGAGGGCAGTACTTCACAATACTTAGAAGGGAAAAAAAAATCTGCTTGAAACAGGCTATTTTGAAAAATAGCATCTGTACTGGTAACTCTTATATAGTTGATATTCAATGTTTTTATGTATACTAATCTGGCTGCTGTATTCAAATAACATTATTTCTAGGTACATCAGGCTGCTTATTTTATTAATTAATGTTAAAAGAGTCAATGGTAATGATATTATCCTTGGACTTACCCTGGCATTGGTCCATTTCCAGAAAGACTGTAAACCTGACGAGGATTTAGTAGATATTGGAATTTTCTATAAATTCTATAAAGATGAAAATATGGAAAGAAAAAAAAGAAATTTAGTGATACTCTCCAATTTTTAAATAAATAGCACCTCTTAATGTTAAAATTATATACATGGTTGTAACTAAATATATTTGATAAATTTTACATTAATAATACTAGAAGTATAACAGCTCAATAAGAACTTCTGGTTCTTTGAAAAAGACACTTACTAGCCAATTAAAGGCAATAAAGCTTATAATTTAGAAATAGTGATATTTGCATTCTAAATATGGATATGCATTTAGAGTACTGTTTATCCTGCTTTTGAATATTATTTAGCTAAGTAGATTTCAAATACATTTTTTAAGAGTATCAGAATAAAATTATTTACATACCTTCCCCTAATTGATCCTTGTGAAGTTTCAGGTTATTGGGCCAATCTAATCGAGATGAAAACTATCCCAAATATAAAATGGGACTGTGCATGTTGTATGTATGTATGTAATCAAAAAATGTGACCGAATCTGCTTAATTATTGCACATAAACAATCATCTGATCAGTCAGCTCACACAATTGCTAAACTGTTTCAACGGGCACATATTAAATAATTCATTTTTTCCAAAGGATATCATTGTCCAACAAATGCAACACAATTATTTCTAAGTAGATACACATTCCATATTAGTATTCTTAGATGAAACACTAAAAATGAAGGAATACATTTAGTTTTTTAAAAGTTAGTTTTTGCCTAAATGTAAAAATATTACCATATATTTTACAAACACATTCAGACTATCCTTACTGATAGAAATTGTCCAAATTCACTATGTAGTATCTGCTTATATCACCCCACTCCCAAATCTGCAATAACCTCACATTCTAGTTCTCGATTACTTATATGAACCAGTGTCTCAAGAAATAATCTAAGAGTCATTCTCAGTACTTCTTTTTCCCCAGCATCTGAACCCGATTGGAGAACAGTCCTGCACCTTCTAATAGTAATGTCTATTGAACATGGCAATTCTATCTCACTGCCTTTGCTCAGGCTTTCTAGCTCTCTCATCAGCTCTATACAATCTTGGCCTATCTAGCCCTCTTACATAGGGCTGGTTAATTACAGCCATGTTGTTTCGGTGATGAAAAGTTCCTAGGGTCAAGTTACTTATAATAAAAAATATTTTATTATATTTAAAATAGGTTATGTCTTCTCTTTCCCTGCTTTTGCCTTAAACTTTAACTTCAGGGATTATCTCTTGGTTCCCTAAAAACACCACACCCTTTCACAAATCTTTCTCTTTCCTTTTACCTTATCAACTCAAAAGCTACTTCCTGTCCAAAGACTTCTCAGTCTTCAGATAGCCTTTCTTCCTCTGAACTTTGACAGCACCTTTATTTTAAACATTTCTAGTTTAGAATTCACCTTGTGGTATTGTGGTGTATCTGTTTGTGCCTGCCTCCCTGCATGGCTGCATTCTAGGTCTTCTAGCCCCAGTTCCTAGTAGAGTTTGGACGCACTCAGGTGTTGCTGTTTGAATGAATGAATGCTATGTGAATATTTTCACACCCGTTGACTGGTTTGCGAAACTCTGAGTGAATATATAATTTTGTAACCTTTTACTACTTATCTAACATATCAAAGTCAAGAAACCCAAATATTTTTAAAGGAAATTCTGAATGGAATTTCATTGTTTGTGAAAGATGACTCTTATTCATTCAGGAAAATGTATATTTGCATTCATAATAGGTTTCCTTTACATGTTTACATATTTACATTTCCTGTGACTTTGGTCCTGTTCATGTATGAAGAACAAAACATAAGTGGGTGTACATATAGGAACACTCAAATATCCCCCCCATTAAGTTTAATTTATTATGACTTTAGTGTATCTATGAATTTATTATTTATTTATTTATTTATTTTATTTTTAAGCTTTTATTTATTCATTTGACAGAGATAGATACAGCAAGACAGGGAACACAAGCGGGGTTAGTGGGAGAGGGAGAACCAGGCCTTCCGCGGAGCGGGGAGTCCAACGCGGAGCGGGGAGCCCGATGCGGGGCGGGGAGCCCGATGCGGGGCTTGATCCCAGGACGCTGGGATCATGACCTGAGCCGAAGGCTGACCCTTAAAGACTGAGCCACCCAGGCGCCCCGAAATTTTTTCTTAATGGGAGAAGGGGAAGTCAGATATTCAGTTAAGGGTCATCCTGCATGATCCATATTCTAATTTGAGGGGAATGTTTTCCTTTTGAAAATATACTTTTTCGGGGTGCCTGGGTGGCTCAGTCATTCAGCATCTGCCTTCGGCTCAGGTCATGATCCCAGAGTCCTGGGATCGAGCCCCGCATCAGGCTCCCTGCTCCGCGGGAAGATTGCTTCTCCCTCTCCCTCTCCCAATCCCCCTGTTTGTGTTCTCTCTCTCTCACTGTGTCTCCCTCTGTCAAATAAATAAATAAAAAACTTAAAAAAAAAAAAAAGAAAATATACTTTTTCTTTCTTTCTTTCTCTTGGTACTTCATCTGTTTCTAATTTCCAACACGAATTTAATTCCTATCTAATTCTATGTGAAGAGTACTTTTTCCCCAAATATCCATAATACATAAAGTTGACAGACTACACAAAGTAAAAAAGAAAACCATTTTAGCATTATTATTTAATTACTATTTAGTATCTCTAAAAGTGAGGCAACTATTCTTTTTAATAAAACAATGTAAATATTTTAATTGTCACTAGTTATTTAAAATAATTTCTACCATGTTTAGCACAGTAAAAAAATATACAACTATATGTTAGAGGAAAAAATCTAGGCAGAAATAATATTTTGTTGATTGGAAAATGAGTAGCACTCTTCATTTCATTGAAATAAAGCTGGAAAGTTAGATGGTTGGAAAAGAAATTACAAAATTCCACTTATCATGAAAACATTTCAACTTCATTATTTGATGAACCACAATGGAAATTTCTGTTTTATCATAGTGCTTATATGAATGCTTTTATTTGATTGCTCATTTTTGGGTTGAGATTAGTAAAGACTTCTAGAAATTATTGAAGCAGGTTCAACTTCATTTTTATGACACCCCTTTTAAGAAGCACATAAGATTTACACGTCAATGTGGTGATTTTCAGATTTTTATTAAATATTATGATTTAACCATTAATTTATTACAAAAATGAAAATTTTGTGCTGTCTGCCAGTATATTGGGACACTTGATAATGCAGCTCATTATAATTCAGATTAAATATATTGTGCTCCTCCAGGATATATGGCATCATGTACTCCAAAAACACACATGCAGAAAATCATTATAATGTAATTTGTCTGGAAGCTGGACATAAATTCTGTTCCTCACTAGTGAATGGTGATTTATTTGAAGTCATCTTGTTGACCATTTAGAGAACCAATTTGCATTCAGCAGTATTTATGGAGCCATGTTGTATGCAATGCTCTTTGTTAAGGGCTAGGGGTAATAGGTAGAGTAGAGAGAATTCAGATACCCAATATATGATAATAAAAATATCTACAAAGGCCATTATTGTATTAATATTTGAACTGTAAAAATAAGGAGATATATTACATATAGATGCTAGAATTACTTATTTGACATTAAAATTGTTAACCATAGAGAATAATGTTTTAAAATTTTTTACACTGTAATTTTAGTTTATCTTTTTACATATATACGACACAGAAAATAAACCTGATTTCCAAAAACATACCGTTCTCCTTGCTTCCCACCACTTTTGGGGTTCACAAAAACTAAAAGCGGATGAGTACCAGGAACAGGAGTAATCTAGAAGAAAAGTTGGATAGATGGACAAATAATTCACATTATCTCTAAAGAGGACCCTTGTTATTTCTAATTCATGAAATACCAATTAACAATTTTAAGAATATGGCTCTTAAGTTCTGTAATATGGATGGATAGATAGATCTACTTAGCAACTCAATTAAACCCTGTGCTTTGACTATATATACATTAACAGGCATACTCACTCCACAAAGAGAGGGAGTATCTGGTTTGGTATAGGGCAGAGAGGAAGGCAGCTATGGAAATGAAATGGTGTTTGAAGAGCCATGAGATGAAAACAAAAGGTACAATTTGTGGGAGAGGAATAAAGCAGCCAGAATATAGTGGGGGAAAAAAAGATTAGAAGAAAGGGGTCTCTTTCAACCTAACCGTCCCCCTCTACACAATGTTTCCTCAATGCTTTCTTTCCCTGCCTGGGGAGTAGAGGGCCAGTTAACTAGGTCTGTTTGCTAAACAGGAATCTGTAAATTGATGGTGCTCCTACTCTATGCTGTGCACTGCTTTTGTCACTACTGGTTTCTTGGTTGAACAAGAAAAAGTGCCTGTTCTAGTGGAGCTTATATGCTAATGGAGAAATAGACAATAAACAAATATACAGTTAGCAGTGAAACACGCCGTGAAACAAAATAAATCAAATAAAATGATAGCTCTTTATTGGTGTGTGGGGAGGTAAAGTTGTTTTCAATAGGGTAGTAAAGAAGAGCTCTTGCATTTTACCTGAGTTTAATGTTAATAGGTAGACTCTTAAATACAAGCTTTTCCTCTTCAATCTACTGCTATATAAATCCCATCTAAATACAGTTTGACAAAAAATATTTAGTAACAAAATGTGCAACTACTGGAGCCCTCTTAACATTAAGTTGAATAGTTCTAGATCAGTTTACTTTCTGAAAGTAGATTCAAGGTATCCTTTATTGCTATGAATTTATCTCTTAGAAAGTATTCTTAAATATGTAATGAGACATGGGCACCTGGGTGGCCCAGTCGTTAAGCGTCTGCCTTCGGCTCAGGTCATGATCCCAGGGTCCTGGGATTGAGCCCCACGTCGGGCTCCCTGCTCCGCGGGAAGCCTGCTTCTCCCTCTCCCACTCCCCCTGCTTGTGTTCCTGCTCTCACTATCTCTCTCTCTGTCAAATAAATAAATAAAATCTTTAAAAAAAATAAAAATAAAAAAATATGTAATGAGACAAAAACACCCATTTAAACATATGATGGGCGCACCTAAGTGGCTCAGATGGTTAAGTGTCTGCCTTCGGTTCAGGTCATGATCTCAGGGTCCTGGGATCAAGTCCCGCATAGGGCTCTCTGCCCCATGGAGCCTGCTTCTCCCTCTCCCTCTGCCTCTCCCCATGCTTGTGCTCTCTCTGACTCTCCCTCTCAAATGTATAAATAAAATCTTTTAAAAAATTATAAAATAAATATAATAAAGATATGATGTCTTTCCTGTTTGTTTAAACAACATAAATTAAAATATTCTTCAAATATATATTCCTCCAATCTTAGGTGAAATGTAATTTTTCTAATGAGTATATAGGCACCGGGGAAATGTTAAAATCTTCACATTAGTTATAATATATTAAAATATTCTTAATTTTTCTACTCTTACTCTACTTGTCATCATTATAATCTATTTTATCTGTCTTTATTTTACTTTCCTCTGTAAAGAGGACAAAGGTTCCTTGTTCCTGGTGTGGCTCTAATTCAGTTAGAAGGTAAGACAGATGAGCTGGGTTTGTAGTAACTTTCCAGTTCTCTCCTGAACCAAATGTGCTCAATCAATTAATATATAGAAAGTGCCTATTAGGTTAAGCTACTGACTTGCAATGTTGCCCTTCTCCCCTCATTTAAAAGCTAAAATAAAGAAACACTAAAACACAACTTTATCTAAAGACTTGTATTCAATTTATTTTTCAACCGATTATAAAATCAGATAGAACTCCTCAAGTTTGCACATGCAAAAAAAGAATGCTAACACATGTGGATTTTAGTTGATTTTTTGCACTTAATTTGAACTGTTACTCCTTATTTTTAAATAAAGGTGAGAATCTCAAGGTAAATAAAGGTTTTGGAGCAAAACACTAAATCTGAACTCACTCATTAGGATGATCTTCAAACTCAACATTGAGCTTACCATTCTATTAAAATAAATTAGATCTTATTAAACTTACACTGGGTCCAATATTTACAATTTATTTGAAAATATGTTTTGGAATACCTTTCAAAACTACATATTTATTGGACTATTTAAAGGCATCATAACTATTTATTAATAAAGGTCAGTACCAAGCTACAGAACAATTGCATTCTAAGGTGTACATTATTACCAGCAAATATATATCCCACTAAAACACAGGCTATAGAGGATTACAAAATCCAAAAATGAAGATGTCATTTTTAGAGGTGGATAAATGGATAAATAGGTCAAATACACTAGGAAAATGGAAGATAAGTTAGAGAGAGTGAATTTAGAAGAATGATGATGATCTACAAGTGATAAAAGTCAAATATTCCAAATGGAAATGCAGGAAAAATAAAATCCCCTGGCAATTTCTTCTTCATATATCTTCTTATCATAAATTAGGCTTACAAGGGCGCCTGGGTGGCTCAGTTGGTTAAGCGACTGCCTTTGGGTCAGGTCATGATCCTGGAGTCCCGGGATCGAGTCCCACATCGGGCTCCCTGCTCAGCGGGGAGTCTGCTTCTCCCTCTGACCCCTCCCCCTCTCCTCTCTCTCTCTCATTCTCTCTCTCAAATAAATAAATAAAATCTTTAAAAAAAATTAAGCTTCCAAAATAAGACTACATAAAAATAAAACCCTGAAAACTTTAGATATCTATTTGCAGGTTACCAGGCATTGTGGAATAGAACCCCTTTGATAATGATGTTAGATAAAACTCCTGACCTAATACATTCTACATTTAAGGAATGATATGTGATTAAACATCAGCACCACTGAGACTCTGGTGTTCAGGGATCACTGAATGGTGCTATACTAGAAATGTCAAGGTTTTAGGCAAATCTGGCATGTTTTTCAATGCCCATTTACAAAGTTTTAAAATTCAGCTAAACTTTGCTGCTCTGAAAAAAAGGCCAATCCATGGGGCGCCTGGGTGGCTCAGTGGTTAAGCGTCTGCCTTCGGCTCAGGTCATGATCCCAGGGTCCTGGATTCGAGCCCCGCATCGGGTTCCCTGCTTGGCGGGAAGCCTGCTTCTCCCTCCCCCACTCCCCTTGCTTGTGCTCTCTCTGTCTCTCTCTCAAATAAATAAATAAAATCTTGAAAGGAAGGAAGGAAGGAAAGAAGGGAGGAAAGAAAGAAAGAAAGCCAATCCAGCAGAGTAAATCTGGGGGCCAGAAGACCAAAGAGAATTTTTAAATTTGACAGCACCAAACCTGAAGTATTGCATAGTCATTTTCAAGTCCGACAAGTTAACAATAAACAACTACTCTGTGCACTAACACTCCTGAAGTAAGGAGGAAGATCTTACTGTCAAGGACTGCTACTATCACTACTATCACATATTCCTCATCAACCTTAGAGAAAGAACTCTGGGCAAAGGGTAATTTTGAAAGACTGGCAGCTCCCATCACACCTGTATCTTGGAAACCGCTGCTGCTGTTTGCAGCATTTAAAATATACTTCTTTTGAAGAGTTTTAAGAAGGTGTGACTTTTGGTGTCTTGTCATCTAAGAATGCAAATAAATAGTCTAAGTAAAAAAAAAATGTGTCTATATTTTGTCTATAATTGGAAGTTGCTATGGACTGAATTGTGTTTCCCCAAATTTTATGTTGAAACCCTACCCACGCAGCATGGTGGTATTTGGAGACAGAGGGCCTTTGGGAAGCAAGGAAGGTTAGATGAAGTCATGAGAGTGGGAGCTTCATGATGGGATTAGTACCCTTATCAAAGAAAGATCTACTGCCGCATCTGCACACACAAGACGGTCACGTGAGCACACAGAGCAATCACTGCCACCTCTAAGCCAAGGGAAAAGGATTCAGAATAAAATGTAACTTGTTACCTTGATCTTGAGTTTTCCAGCTTTGAGAACTGTGATAAATAAATGTCTGTTGTTGAACCCACCCATCTATGATACTTTATTATAGCAGCCCAATGTGACTAATGTGGAAGTGTTTTATGGAGACTCAAGACATGATCTTCACAAAGGAAGAGGGAGAGCTTCTAGTCATCTTCCTCTGGATGCCAGCATGAAACCTGACATTATAAGGACTGGCAGCCATCTTTGATAACAAGGTGACCTTGAAGATACAACAGATGGAGGACAGGAAAGATAGTGCCAGCCCTGATAAAAATGTGGAGCTGTCTTATTAGCTCTATTTCTGGAGATTCTGCTTCTGGACTTGATTTACATGAAAGAAAAATTTATGCATATGTTGTTTAAACCACTGTTAATGTTTTATTCGTTTTCATTTTTGTTTCCCTGTTACACACTGCAGATCTTAATTATAACTGGTATGAGAGACAAGATCCACAAGGGCACAGAATTGAATACCAATAGAACCAGGCATAGAAATTGTTTTTAAAAAAGATTTTATTTATTTATTTAAGAGAGAGAGAGAGAGCACAAGCAGGGGGAGCGGCAGAGAGAGAAGCAGACTCCCTGCGGAGCAGAGAGCCCAACATGGGACGCAATTCCAGGACCCTGGGATCATGACCTGAGCTGAAGGCAGATGCTTAACTGACTGAGCTACCCAGGCGCCCCTAGAAATTTTATACTTCATCAAACTTGTAAATATTTCTAGACCCCTAGTGAAGAATAGAAACTTGATATCAAAATCCCTGAAGATACTCTATATTTCATTTTATTTTACATTATGTTATCCTCCTTATTGAGTAGGGGCATAATCATTTTCAGTTAATCCTTTTGTAACTTAAAGAGTCTGAGATAAAAAAAAATATATAGGTATCACTAGATGTGATATTTCAATTACTTAATTCAATCTATTTGCTTCCAGATTTTG